AATTTCATTCAATTCATATCTCCTGAAGGCGTTTTTGCAATTACATCAAGTAAGAAAAATAACGATAATGATAAAATGTATGGAATTCATGTAAAAATTTTAGAACAAAAAAACACTAATCAAGTTTTTTATATTAAATGTCTAGCTAATTTTCGTGTTGTTTTATATAATTTAACTCATTTCATTGAGTATGATAATTATGTAGCTAATCATTATCCTATATTTGACGAAGTTATGCATATAAATTTAATTGAATACAATTTATGGGAATATAACAATAATAAAAGTAATATGATTAATATAGGAATGGATATAATACATAATTTAAAAAGATTATTAATTCAAGTAGAAAATGAAGAGGATGTTAATCTAATTTCCGATTATTATAGACATTTTAAAAATATAACAAATAATATGGAAATCTCTGATTCTACTATTTCTAGTGTTATTAGATATTTTTCTTGTGTAATTTTATCTAGAATATGCTTATTATGCATAAAAAAACAACTAAATCGTTTTGGAAAATCAGGTATTAGGTTATTTAATAATAAATTTAGAAATTTAAAACTTGCCTCATCAGAACCATCCACTGAAGAACTAGAAATTTTTTCTTATTCTTTAAGTAGTGCAATTATATCAAAATCATTACTTAAATGGAAGTGGTTTAAAACAACAGATACAAGTGAAAGATTAGAAAGTATAACTCAATATTTTTTAAAAAAAAAGAATAAAAGTATTTTAGCTCTTGATAATTCACGTTCACCTATTATTCATAGATTATTTATGTTAGATTCTATAACATCATCCTTATCAATTCTGATCTTTATTTTAACTATAATTTTTGTTAAATATTTTGTATATTAATTTTTTTATTTTTTTATTTTTTTTTTTTTTTTTAAACAGCTTTTTTCTTTTATTTGACTTATAGATATTCATTAATTTTACTCACATAGTTATAAATTTGTATATAATTATTTATGTAACTGAAAAATCTTATTTATATAAATTTCATTAAGAATATCAAAATGTTCTTGTAATATATATATATATATATATATAGCCATCATATATTTTTACTATTCCTTCTTTATTTCTCCTTTAGTTTCTTTTTTTATATTATTAACTACACACTCATTAATAATTATAACATTAACTAACAAGTTGAATTAAACAATCTGTATTTATAATGTGAATTGCATAATTAAAAAAATCAAAGAGTTTTCTTACGATAATGGTAACCTAATGAAGTATGGAAGTACTTTATATAAAAGTCCTGCTTAAGTATTTTTTATTGAGAAGTAATAATATATTAATTTTTTTTATTTAAATTCTATATCTTATTCATTTTTATTAAATATTTTATTTTTATGTGTATATAATTTTAAAATTATTATATTTCTACTTTAATATTATTCATAATGGTAATATTTCACTTTTATGTATACAATGATGTCCTATAGGTGAAGATAGATTTATTAGAAAAGGAATATTTTAAGAATTGAAATTTTATTTAAGAAAAAAAAATTTATTTTTAATAATAAAAAATTATAATATACTAATAATATTAATTGTTTTAATGAATAAATACCCAATTAATTATTAACATTATTCTTATGAATAAAAGTTGATAATTTTTTACTTTTTTTTATATAAAAGTTTGAAACTATTTTTTTTTATATTTCTTAATTTGTAAATTTTAAGAAGTCAATTTTTTATTATATTTTATTATTTTTATATTTTATATTATTTTTTTTTGCAGTTTATAAATTCACATTTCTTCTAATACAAAATAAAAATATATTATTTTCATAAACATTGTAAAATAATACATTTTTATTGTTTTAACGTAAATTTTTTTTTCGCCTAAGTTTAATGTGTTTTTTTTTTTTTTTTTTTTTTTTTTAATGAATTTAGTTTAATAAATGATTACAGTATTTTTTTAAAAAAAAATATTAAAAATGTATTTTATTTTATTTTAATTTTTTTTTTTTTTTTTTAAATTTTTGTAGTTATACTTTAAAAAAGAAAACATTTATTTATTATTTTTTTTTTTTTTTTTTTAAGATAAACTTTTAAATCAATATTTTTATAATGTACTATAAAAAGCATTTTACTATCATGTAGAAACATTCACAAAGAATTTATAAATGCTTAGGCATTCAAAGTTCTTTTATTATTTTTTAATGAGCATATGTACATAAAAAAAAAAAAATAAAAAATATAAAAATTGAGAGCGTAAAAAGGAGAAAAAAAAATAATAAAAGAGAAAAGCTTATTTTTTAATTGGAAATAATTTTTTTTTTTTTTTTTTTTTTTTCTCACATTGAATTGTTAAATTATTTTAAATTTCTCTTATTCCCTATTTTTAAATGTAAAACCATAATATTAAATTAATGTTGTTTGAATTGAGATTAATTTTATAACATGTTTGTTTTTTATATACGTATTTATTTTTTTTTTTTTTTTTAATTCTTTTTGATTTAATATTTTTATAATTTTTTTTTCATAGATGAATGAGCCTTTTAGTTTTAATGTAAATGCTCCTTCATATTACCCTGGAAAACCATACAAAGGTGAAGATGTAAATAGTGATAGTGACAGCAGTGAAATAGAAAAAAAAAGAGATGCAGTTGTAGAAAATTTTGATGAAGAAGAATTAAATAATGTAGAGGATAAAATAAGTAAAATTAATTTAAATGATGATGATGATGATATTAATGATGTTGATAATGATGTTGATAACGATGTTGATAAATATGAACATGTGGAAGATGACGATGAGAATAAAGAAGAAATAGAAGAATTACAGGAAAAGATAATTGAAAAAAGTAGAAATTTGGTAGAAGTAGATCCAAGACATCATTTAAATATAATATTTATTGGCCATGTTGATGCAGGAAAGTCAACTACTTGTGGAAATATTCTTTATATATTAGGTTACGTTGATGATAGAACAATAGAAAAATATGAAAGAGAAGCAAAAGAAAAAAATAGAGAAAGTTGGTTTTTAGCATTTATAATGGATATCAATGAAGAGGAGAGACAAAAAGGAAAAACTGTAGAGGTGGGAAGAGCCCATTTTGAAACAAAAGATAGAAGATTCACAATACTTGATGCACCTGGTCATAAAAATTTTATACCCAACATGATTAGCGGTGCTGCACAAGCAGATATTGGTGTTTTAATTATATCAGCAAGAAAAGGGGAATTTGAAACTGGATTTGAAAGAGGAGGACAAACAAGAGAACATACTTTACTTGCAAGAACTTTAGGTATGCATACATTTTAAATATTATTTTATATATACATATTTTTTCATAATTAAAGACGTTCATATATTTAATATGTGAAATTTTTTTTTTTTTTTTTTTAGGAATAAATCAGCTAATAGTGGCGATAAATAAAATGGATGATCCAACATGTAATTGGAGCGAGAGCAGATATGACGAAATACAAAAAAGAATAACCCCTTTTATAAAATCATGCGGATATAATATAAGTAAAGATGTTTATTTTGTTCCCATTTCTGGGTTAACAGGTCAGAATTTATCAGAACATGTGTCAGATAAAAATTCGAAATTATATGACCCAAGAGCTAGCTGGTATGATTTATCGAAGCCAACTTTATTTCAAATTTTAAATACCTTGCCACCCCCACCTTGGGATGAAAATGGCCCACTAAGAATTCCTTTATTAGAAGGTTATAAAGATAATGGAATAATAGCCGTTGGAAAAATTGAATCAGGAACATTATATGGAAATAATATGAGCTGTACATTAATGCCAAATAAAGTAAAGGTAAAAGTTATGAATGTATTTTTAGAAGATGATGAAGTTCCATATGCAAAACCTGGAGAAAATGTTCGCGTAAGATTGTTTGGTGTGGATGAAGATCAAATTAGTAAAGGTTTTGTTTTATGTGATTCTATAAATTTATGTTCAGTTGTTCATGAATTTATTGGAAGAGTTGCAATTGTTGAATTACTTGAACATAAACCAATAATAACGGCTGGATACTTTTGTATTTTTCATGCACATACTGCTTGTGAAGAAATACAATTTGTTGAAATGCTAGAAGCTATTGATAAAAAATCGAAAAAAAAAAAAATTAAACCCAAATTTATAAAAAGTGATTGCATTGTAACTGCTCACTTCTTATTGTCAAATCCTGTTTGCGTGGAGGTATATGATGATTTGCCACAATTAGGAAGATTTACATTAAGAGATCAAGGAAAAACAATAGCAATTGGAAAAATACTCGAATTAAAAGCATAAAATTAAATAACAGAAAGGTGTAAACTTACATAAAAAAAAAAAAAAAAAATAAAATAAAAATAAAATAAATTAAATAAATGAATAAAAGAAAAACAAAAATAAAAATTATTTCAAGAAAAGAGAAAAGAAAAAATCAGATTAATAACTTTAATTCTTTATTCAGTAATATGCTCTGTAAGCATAGTTATAAAATATTTATTTTTGAATACATTAAAGCTTTATGAAGTGTTTGCACACTCTTCGTTTTCACATTATTATAAAAACACGTTAGAAAAAAACAGGAATAAAAATATATTTGTTCTTTTTTTTTTTTTTTTTTAAAGGAATTATATAATATGTGTATTATTTTGTATTTTAATTTTTTTTACTTTTTTTGTATAATGCTACAGATTACTAAGAGTATAAAAATGTATCACAAAAAAAAAAAAGACTTTAAGATACATTTTATATAAATCAGAAAATAAATATATGTATTTATTACTTGCTAAATTATTATTTCATTTTTTTTTTTTTTTTTAAAAACATTCTTTTCCTATTAAAATATTTGAAAACATATTTATATGCTAGTTATTTTTACTATTTTGTGTTTAATGAAATATAAGACATATGTCTTTTTTATAGATTTGATGAATAAAAGAAAAAAAAATTAAATTAATTTAGTAGAAACAATTTACATAATTTTGATACGTACGGAAAAAATGGAAGGAGTTATAATTTTGTATTTTTCTAATTTTTTTTATATTAACCTACCTTTTATAATTATTATCCTTTATTTAATATGTATGTTTATATAAGCATATTTTCTTTGGAACGTTAATGGATTATAAAATATAAAATATTTATTTAATATATTTTTAATAACAGTTGATGTTTTTGTATCATTCAAAAAAAAAAAAAAAAAAAAAAAAAAAAAAAAAAAAAGT